TGGACTGACAGGGCGCCCGCGCACCACGGCCTGGCTAATTCTTTTGTATTTTTAGTAGAGACGGTGTGTTGTTTAGCGCAGGAATGGTCTGGATCTCCTGTCCTCGTGATCGGCTGCCTGGGCCTTCCCAAGTGTTGGCGCATTAACAGGGCGTGAGCCACTGCACACCGGTTATTATTTCTTATTTATGTTCTTTTTCTTTTTTCTTTTTTTGTTTTTTTTTGGAGACGGAGCTCTCGCTCTGTAGCCCAGCGGCTGGAGTACAGTGGTGCAATCTTGAGTTCACTGCAAGCTCCGCGGCCTCCCCATGGTTTCACCGACTTCTCCTTGCCTCCTCCTGGAGTAGCTGGGACTACATGCGCCGCCACCGACGCGCCCGGCTTAATTCTTTTGTATTTTTCCTTAATAGAAGACGGGCCGGGCGCGGTGGCCTCAACGCCGCTGTAACCCAGGCACGTTGGAAGGCGAGGCGGCCGCGGATCACAGGTCAGGAGATCGGGAGACCATGGTGAAAACCCCTATCGTCTATAAAAATAGAAAAAATAGCAAGGCGCTGAGTGGCGGGCCGCCTGTAGTCCGCCGCGCTAACTGGCGGTGAGGCTGAGCGGAGGAATGCGGGATTCCGGGAGGTGGAGCCTGCGCAGTGGATGCCGAATTGGCCGTTACTCAAAGTCCTAGCTACTCGGGAGGCTGAGGCAGGAGAATGGCGTGAACTTGGGAGGCAGAGCTTGCAGTGAGCTGAGATCGCGCCACTGCACTCCAGCCTGGGTGACAGAGCCAGACTCTGTCTCAAAAATAAATAAATAAATAATAAATAAATAAATAATTTCTGGCTGGGTACAGCAGCTCATGCCTATAATCCCAGCACTTTGGGAGGCTGAGGTGGGCGGATCACGAGGTCAGGAGTTCAAGACCAGCCTGGCCAACACAGTGAAACTCCATCTCTACTAAATATACAAAAAATTAGCTGCGCGTGGTCGTGGGCGCCTGTAATTCCAGCTACTCCGGAGGCTCAGGCAGGAGAATCACATGAACCTGGGAGGCGGAGGTGGCAGTGAGCAGAGATCACGCCACTGCACTCCAGCCTGGGTGACAGTGCAATTTTTTTTTTCTTTGAGATGGAGTCTTGCTCTGTTGCCAGGCTGGAGTGCAGTGGCGCGATCTTGGTTTACTGCAACCTCCACCTCCCAGGTTCAAGCGATCCTCCTATCTCAGCCTCTTGAGTAGCTGGGACTGCAGGCGCCCGCCACCACGCCCAGCTAATTTTTTTCTATTTTTAGTAGAAACAGGGTTTCACTGTGTTAGCCAGGATGGCCTTGATCTCCTGGCCTCGTGATCCTCTTGCCTCGGCCTCCCAAAGTCCTGGGATTACAAGCGTAAGCCACCATGCCCGACTGGCTCTGTCATTTAAAAAAAAAAAAAAAGACTAACTTCCAACATGCTTTCATGCTTTCTTCCACCTTCTTTTGATCCATTTGATCCACTCCTCTAATCCATTGTTTCTACTGAACTGGGTGGTTTTTGTTTTTTTTGTTTTTTTTTTTTTTTTTTTTTTGAGAAAACAGTTTGTCACCCAGGCTGGGGTGAGTGGTACATACTGGCTCACTGCAGCGTCCAGTCTCCCCAGGCTCAGTGATCCTCTCCACCCTCAGCCTCCCAACTAGCTGGGAACTATAGTGCATGCCACCATGCCCAGCTAAATTTTGATTTTTGTAGAGACAGGATTTTGCCATAACGCCCAGGCTAGTCCCAAAATTCTAGGCCAAGCAACAGCCTTCTCTAGCTCCCAAAGTAGCTAGGATTACAGGCATGGAGCCACCATGCTGTTGTAAGGCACAAATTATGACATGTACCCTGCTGAAAACTCTTCCATCGTTTTCCCATTGCATTAAGGGAAAAAAGAAAAAAAACTGGAGCTGGGTGCAGTGACTCACACACACCTATAACCTAGCACTTTGGGAGGCCAAGACAGGAGGATCCCTTGAGCCCAGGAGTTCAAGATCAGACTAGGCAACATCAAAAACACACTAATCTCAAAAAAAATATTTTATATATATATATTTATTATATAATACATACATAAAATTATATATATATTTTTGGAGATGGAGTTTTGCTCTTGTTGCCCAGGCTGGAGTGCAATGGCACGATCTCGATTCACCACAACCTCGCCTCCTGGTTCAAGTGATTCTCCTGCTTCAGCCCCCGAGTAGCTGGGATTTAACACAGGCATGTGCCACCATGCCCGGCTAATTTTGTATTTTTTTTATTTTTTTTTAGTAGAAATGGGTTTCTCCATGTTGGTCAGTGCTGGTCTCAAACTCCGACCTCAGGTGATCCACCCACCTTGGCCCTCCAAAATGCTGGGATTACAGGCGTGAGGCACCACAACCCAGCCAAAAATATTTTTAAAATCAGGATTGAGCCCAGGAAGTTCAAGGCTGCAGTGGGCCACAATTGTGCCAACTACACTAGAGCCTCGGTGACAGAGACTCAATTCAAAAAATAAATAAATAATAGAAAATCTCAACAGTCTTCTAGGCCTTCCAAATCATGCAGTTCCTAAAAATTCCAGCATTGTTTTTTTTTTTTTTTTTTTTTTTTTTTGAGACGGAGTCTTGCTCTGTAGCCCGGCGTGGAGTGCAGTGGCGGATCTCAGCTCACTGCAAGCTCCGCCTCCCGGGTTGCGCCATTCCTGCCTCAGCCTCCGAGTACGCTGGGACTACAGGCGCCCGCCACCTCGCCCGGCTAGTTTTTTGATTTTTTAGTAGAGACGGGGTTTCACCACGTGTTAGCCAGGATGGTCTCGATCTCCTGACCTCGTGATCCGCCCGTCTCGGCCTCCCAAAGTGCTGGGATTACAGGCTTGAGCCACCGCGCCCGGCCCTCCAGCATTGTTTTATGCTATCACCTCTACCGCCAGGTCCCCCTTACTTTTAGTTGCTGTCAATACAAAACTTCTTTAGGTTTTTCCAGCAGCATCTTCCAGTTTCAAGACTTTTCCCTAAGCTGTCCAATTTGTATGGAATGCTGTTCCCACTCTTACCTCCTTTAACTAATTAATCCCTATTCATCTTTCAATCTTAGCTGATTAAATAAGTAGGCTACTCACCCTGCACTTCTCATAACACTTCTTCCAACTGTAATTAAACTAATTATGCAATTACTTAGTCTGTCTCCTCAAGTAAGCTGTAGGGACTTCTATGTCTTGGTTATAGCTATATCCCCAGGGCCTAGCATCATGCCTAACCCATAAGTACCCAATAAATACTTCTTGAAAGAAGAGCAACAGTTTGGGAAAGTAAAATGAGTTTCATGTGACTGGAGTTTAGAGAGATTTGCCAAAAACCTTCCTAAAACCTGTTTATCAGTGGCCTCTGGTGGCCACCAATAAAAAGTGCATAAGATAGGGCCTTAGGGGCCAAGTGACAAGGTCTGGGCTGGACTCTGCCTCCTGCAGGTCACCAATGCACACTGACCATAGTGTCTGATGGAAAAAGCCCCTGTCCCCACCTTTTGTGATTTTGCAAGCTGGGATTCCCTAACTTCTGAATGTAAGTCGTTTGGACTCTTCATATTGCTAAACCTAGGCACTGATCAGGACAGGGGGATGGAAACTCAGGGCCCAGGTCCAGCACTGCCTTGAAACCAATGGGACAATCATTGCCCTGATTGCTCACTCCTGAGGCATTCTTGAAAAGACTCTAGGGAAGCATTGCAGTGCTTAAGATTTGCCAGTAGATGGCGCTACTTCCCAACGTGCCTAATGCAAGGATAAGGAATTACTCAGCCTCTTCACAGGTTCCTCCAGAACGAATACTTGGGCTTCAAGGGCAGGTCACATCCAGCAGCCCTAGGTCTGTCATCCCTGAGGAAAACAGCCTCCATCTCAGGCCTGACCAGGCAAATAAGACAAGCAAGCAATATGGATGCTCCAATGGCTTTATTAACTCCCTCTTTCCACTGTGGCAGGACTTCATTAGCTGGAGAGCTGGAAGGGAGGCCAAGAAGCTGTGGTCTCAGTACGGGTCATTAAAGGGGTACAGAGGATGCCCTGCATCCCTTGGGACTCTCTTCCCATCCACCTGGAAAGAGAGACAGATAGATTACTGCATCAGCAGGAGTTGCCATTCCAAAGACTCCAGGCATCTTCCCCAAATCTTCCTAAACAAACTAATCTGTGTACAACATTATATCAGATGGCAGTGGCCAGGATCCCCATCTCAGAGAACATCACAGTATCAACAGCATTCTAGCACCAAACCCATAGCCTGATACGTAGCTGCCCCTGCCCCTAAGAGTGTGCAGTCTCAACTGAGATCAAGAGGCCAGGAACCATTTATTTCCCTAAGCACAGCAGACTTCCCTCCCAACCCAACCCCTCGAGTGAGGTCAACAATGCCTTCTGGGCTCTCCTCATATCATTTACTGAGAATCTACTACATGTCAGGAGCTGGGCTCATTTTACACATAGGAAGCTGAGGCTTGGAGAACTTTAATAACTTGCTCTAGGTTACAAGATATCAAGAAGCAGCATTGAGACTCACAGGTTATATGCCTTATCCCTGAGCCATACTACTTCCCTGAGCTCAATAAAGAGAAATGAGAGCACTATGTCCAGCATAGCAATCCCACCCACAACATTGTGTCCCTCTCACAACCAGCAAGCCTGAGGTCACACCTGGGCCAGAATCCCACCCCAAATCTCACATTCGCCAAGTCTAGGGGGCTGATACATCCTCACCATAAGCATAGGCACAATATATCGCCAATTTTTGTTCAGGGCGTTTAGCTGCTTCATCTCTTCTGGGCTAAAGGTGAAGTCAAACACCTGAGGATGGAGAGTGGGGTTCAGGAACAACAGCTTTGTGAGCAGAAGCTGGGGTTCCACAACACTGCCTTTTTTCCCAGGTAGAGTCAGGGCCAAGAAAATGTCCCAAAGAGCTAAAGAAGATAGAACCCATTACCAAGTACCTTGATGTTCTGAAGGATTCGAGAAGGAGTGATACTTTTGGGGATGCAGATCACTTTCCGCTGGACCTGCCACCTAAGTTGGGGGATTAGATAGATGAGGAAAAGGAGTCAGTATTCATAAGCATTATTTTGTTCTCCATGCAGCCTTCCCTAAGCTCCTAGAGCACCTGAGCCCTGCTGAAATGGGGAATATGCCTACAGTGGCCTCCCTCCAGATCACAGGGCAAGATCCTCAGCCTCACTCAGACACTGAAACAAGAAATCCCTTAACCCTTGCCTCCCAACCCAGGGCCCTCTCCCTAAGACTGCCCCGTACCTGAGCAAGATCTGAGCTGGAGATCGGCCATACTTTTCAGCCAATGCCAGGACTACTGGTTCCTCCAGCAGGACAGGCTCATCAGGATCACGCCACGCACGATCAGAGGAGCCCAAAGGGCTATAAGCAGTTATCTCCAGGCCACGTGCTTGGCAGTGGGCAATTAGCTCGTTCTGAGCCAAGTATGGGTGGCATTCCACCTGAGCCAAAGAATAACCCATCACCATGAAGTGGTCACACCCAGCTTGCTTGGCCATCCCAGACATGCATGTCTGGACCAACCCCCTATTGCTGACTCCCCCACTCCCCTTCAGCCTGTTTTTCTCACCATTTTCCATTGGCAATTTCATTCTCTCCCACTGCTTCAATGCCCACCTTTAGGCAGAGGACTTCTGCACCAACACTCTGACAACTTGCTAGCCATCTCCCTTAAGCAGATCCATTGTTTGCTCACTCATGCTCTTGAGCACACAACCCCTAAACCACTCATCTGCTTGCTGTCCTTACCTGCAAGACAGCTGGACGCACGGAGGCCACACTAAGTATGTCATCGATCTGCCGACTATTGAAGTTGGACAGGCCCAGCGCCCGCACCAGCCCCTTAGCCACCAGTGCCTCCAGAGCCTTCCAAGTCTCCTTATAGTGGGTGGAGTCGTAGCATATGGTCCCATCAGCATTCTTCGGGAAGGGGTTGTCTCCCCGCCTGAGTGAGAGACAGCCGCACCAAGTGTGGACACAAATGCCAGGCTTCTGCCCTACCTGACCATCCAGCCACTCTGTGTCCCAAACTCCAATCCCAGAGAGGACAAAGGGCCAAGAATTTTTAAAAAGCCATGCTTTTTCTTTTTTCTTTTTTTTTTTAGAGACACAGTCTCACTCTGTCGCCCAGGCTGGAGTGCAGCAGCGCGATCTTGGCTCACTGCAAGCTCCGCCTCCCGGGTTCACGCCATTCTCCTGTCTCAGCCTCCTGAGTAGCTGGGACTACAAGCGCCTGCCACTACACCTGGCTAATTTTTTTGTATTTTTAGTAGAGACAGGGTTTCACTGTGTTAGCCAGGATGGTCTCGATCTCCTGACCTCATGATCTGCCCGCCTCGGCCCCCCAAAGTGCTGGGATTACAGGTGTAAGCCACCATGCCCAGCTAAAAAAAGTCATGCTTTTTCATCCTTCCAGATCGTAATTCAGGTGTTAAGTTTACATGGAATGCCTATGCCCCCTCCTCTTCCTAGACCTAGATATCTCCTCTCCCCTAGGAAGTCTTTCTTAACTCATCCTCAGGGAGTTATCGCCCTTCTTCCAGCACAGGGCACGGCACTAATGGTGGGCTCTTCTCACATCTTCTGCTGAGACGTACTTATTACTCTAACCCCAGATGCTCAACAGAAAAGTCAGCACCTTTTCTGAATGAATAAAGGGAGCAGGAGGGTTACAGGTGCACACCCTAGGGTAAATACCATGTGAGACTGCCTTCATTTTTCTAGAGTTAAACTCCTATAGCTACAGCTAAGCTGCTGTAGCAGAAGAGGCTAAGATCCCAGGTCAGGCTCCTCAGCTTGCCATGCAAATGAGTGTTTGTATCCTGCCCTGCTGCTGTGACTTACAATAAGTTACTAACATCATCCTGCTAAACCCCCTGATTCCCCAGATGAGGCTCTGGCAAGGCTCACTCAAAGGCATAAGGCCAGTGCATCAGGTACAGGTCCAGATACTCCAGCTGGAGGTCAGCCAGAGTCTTCCGGAGGGCAGGCTCCACATCCTCGGGGTGGTGCTTGGTGTTCCACAGTTTGGATGTCACGAACAGCTCCTCCCGAGGCACCGCCTAGTACAGGGGGAAGGGCCTACAATGAGAAGAGCCACAAACACCTGGTCTCACCCACGCTCAACTCTGGGAGAGGAACGGAAGGAAGCTGATGCCAGATTCCCTCCAGCTGGGCCCCAGCCCCAGCTTCTAAGTTCTCTCACCCCACCTCTCTTTACAACCCCAATCCTTACCTTGCCTGGTCCCACGTCCTCCTTCAGGGCCTCCCCAATCTCAGGCTCATTGCCGTAGATAGCAGCACAATCAATGTGGCGGTAGCCTACACTAAGGGCATACTTAACAGCTGCTTTTACCTGCCAGGTGAGAGAAGCAGAGGTTTCAGCTCTATTGGTTTCAGCCTTCTACTGTCGCCACCCCAAGGTCAATGCTGGGGGAGGGGCGGTCAGAAATATAGCAGGCACATCTATGCAGTGGAGGTGAAAAGATGGAAGATGAACTGGGTGCGGTGGCTCATGCCTGTACTGTAATCCCAGCACTTTGGGAGGCTGAGGTGGGCAGATCACCTGAGGTCAGGAGTTCGAGACCAGACTGGCCAGCTGGAGGTCAGCCTGGCCAACAAGGTGAAACCCCATCTCTACTAAAAATACAAAATTAGCCGGGTGTGGTGGCAGGTGCCTGTAATCCTAGCTACTTAGGAGGCTGAGGCAGGAGAATCACTTGAACCCAGGAGGCAGAGGTTGCAGTGAGCTGAGATTGTGCCACTGCACTTCAGCCTTGGCAGCAAGAGTGAAACTCCGTCGCAAAAAAAAAAAAAAAAAAAAAAAAAAGGAAGATAGTTTCAGTCTAAGGGACCAGAAGCCTCTTCAGAGGCTCCAAACCCTTTGCTCTGCTCCCACCCCAACCAGTCTCTAAGATGCCTTCCTACCCAAGCCATCTCAGCAAGGTCTAGCAAAAACTAACAATATTTTTCCGGCATCTACCATAAAGAGGGCTTTAGTAAATATTTTTTCAGGCTGAGCATGGTGGCTCATGCCTGTAATCCTAGGACTCCGGGAGGCAGACATGGGAGGATTGCTTGAGGGCAGGAGTTCGAGACTAGCCTAGTCAACATAGCGAGAACCCCCACCTCTTAAAAAAAAAAAAAAAATTAAGGCCAGGCGTGGTGGCTCACTTTGGGAAGCCGAGGCAGATGGATCACCTGAGGTCAGGGGTTCAAGACCAGCCTGGCCAACATGGTGAAACTCTGTCTCTACTAAAAATACAAAAATTAGCTGTGCATGATGGCACATGCCTGTAGTCCCAGCTACTCAAGAGGCTGAGATAGAAGAATCGCTTGAACCCAGGAGAAGGAGGCTGCAGTGAGCTGAGATCATGCCACTGCACTCCATCCTGGGTGAGACAGAGTGAGACTACATCTCAAAAAAACACACACAAAAAAAACAACAAAAAAAATTAAAAACAATTTTTTTGTTTTTTTTAAATAAAGGCCAGGCATGGTGGCTCACATCTGTAATCCCAGCACTTCGGGAGGCTGAGGCAGGCGGATCACCTGAGGTCGGGAGTTTGAGATCAGCCTAACCAACATGGAGAAACCCCGTCTCTACTAAAAATACAAAATTAGCTGGGCATGGTGGTACGTGCCTATAATCCCAGGTACTTGGGAGGTTGAAGCAAGAGAATCGCTTGAACCCGGGAAGTGGAAGTTGCAGTGAGCCAAGATGGTGCCATTGTACTCCAGCCTGGGCAACAAGAGTGAAACTCTGTCTCAAAAAAAAAAAAAATGGCTGGGCGCAGTGGCTCACGCCTGTAATCCCAGCAATTTGGGAGGCCAAGGCGGGCAGATCACAAGGTCAGGAGATCGAGACCATCCTGGCTAACATGGTGAAACCCTGTCTCTACTAAAAATACAAAAAATTAGCCGGGCATTGTGGCGGGCACCTGTAGTCCCAGCTACTTGGGAGGCTGAGGCAGGAGAATGGCGTGAACCCGGGAGGCGGAGCTTGCAGTGAGCCGAGATCGCGCCACTACACACCAGCCTGGGCGACAGAGCAAGACTCCATCTCAAAAATAAATTAAATAAATAAATAAATTTTTAAAAATTTAAAAAATAAATAATAAAAAATTTTTTTTCAATCAGAAGACAGATGGATAAATAGACAGAAAAAAGAAGTATAGACCATAGAAACAAGTCCCAGGTTCTAAGGAGCTAGTTAGAGAAACATAAGAAAAAATTCCTAGGCCAACAACATACAGGAAGTCATGTAGACAGACTCTGGGAGCTCTGAGAGCACAGGCCAACAAAAGAGGTTAGAAGGGGGAAAAGATTAAGGAAGGCAGATAAGTGGGCTGAAAGCTGGACCCAGAACCCCCTAATGAGAGAGAAGAAAACAGGCATCAGGTAGAAGGATGGGTTAGTTAATTTTGCTAAAATCCAGACTGGAAACATGGCATCAGCAGCAGAACCAAGGGTACCCAGCCTTAGACACAAAGCACCCAAAGCTCTTGTTGTGGGTGCCTGGCATAGTATTCAAGATCCCCACCTGGGTGCAGACGTACTTCCCTTAACATCTGACCCCTGCTGTTCCATGCCCTGACTTGGCCTTGGCTGTGGCCCCCACCCCCTGCCTTGACCTAGCTCATGGACTTGTCCGAGGCTGTGACAAGTGCCTGCCTGAAGCACAGGGACCCTGGCTCCAAGCTCCTAAGCAGCTATAGGAAAGAAAGCAAAAGGGAAAAAAGACACAGGTCATCCAAGCACACCACAAATACCAGTTTAAGTTCCAGATAGAAGAATCTGTTCTCTCTGCTGGTACTTCTGTCAAACGTAATCCCCAAACTTGTCTTCACTCTGACTCCAGATTTCCAAGGAAGAAGGAAGAAGCGCTGGGGAAATGCCCCATTCCAGGCAGGAGCCAAATCTCATAGCTACGTCCACCCTAAGAGAGCAGGTCTACACTCCCAGACTCCCCTCAGCTGGGAGGGTCCACACCAGGGGTCAATCATCAACTTTAATAGTCCTTGAGTTAAGAACTACATTTACATTTTTAAGTGGTTATGTATTTATTTTATTATTATTTTTCTTGGGATGGAGTTTTGCTCTTGTTACCCAGGCTGGAGTGCAATGGCACGATCTCGGCTCACTGCAACCTCCGCCTCCCGGATTCAAGCGATTCTCTTGCCTCAGACTCCTGAGTAGCTGGGATTACAGGCATGCACCACCACGCCTGGCTAATTTTATATTTTTAGTAGATGGGGTTTCTCTGTGTTGGTCAGGCTGGTCTCAAACTCCCGACCTGAGGTGATCTGCCCGTATCAGCCTTCCAAAGTGCTGGGATTACAGGCATGAGCCACTGCACCCAGCTTAAGTGGTTACTTATTAAAAGGTCACGTGAGTATATAATCACCTCCATCTGTAACTTGTCCAATATAATCTAATTGTTTTTTAATTTTATTTTCCTTAATTTTTGTTCCCCTAGACGGCGTCTTGCTCTGTTGCCTAGGCTGGAGTACAGTGGCATAATTGTGGCTCACTGCAACCTCTGCCTCCCAGGTTCAAGCAATTCCCCTGCCTCAGCCTCCCAAGTAGCTGGGATTACAGGCGTGTGACACCATGCCCGGCTAATTTTTGTATTTTTAGTAGAGACGGGGTTTCACCATATTTGCCAAGCTGGCCTCGAACTCCTGACCTTGTGATCTACCTGCCTTGGCCTCCCAAAGTGCTGGGATTACAGGCGTGAGCCACATTGTCCGGCCTACTTTTTTATTTTTAGTAGAGACGGGGTTTCACCATGTTGGCCAGGCTGGTCTCGAACTCCTGACCTCAAGTGATCCGCCTGCCTTGGGCTCCCAAAGTGCT